ACCATGTTCCGGCTGGCGGTGGGCGACACCAACACGGCGCTGAAAGGGGAAGACTTCCGCGAGCTGGCTCGCGCTGCCGAGGGATACTCGGGGTCCGATATCAGTATCGTGGTGCAGGATGCGCTGATGCAGCCGGTGAGGAAGATTCAGCAGGCTACGCATTTTAAGAAGGTTCGTTTTTCCTGTCTCTATCTCCATCTTCCTCCTTTTTTCCCCCGTTGATACAACTTGCTAACTACTACTGTTGGATAATAAAACAGGTAATCCACGAAGGCAAACAAATGCTCACCCCCTGCTCGCCAGGCGACCCGGAAGCCATCGAAATGACGTGGGAGCAAGTACCCTCGGACGAGCTGCTGGAGCCGTTTGTGGACAAGAAGGACTTTATCAAGGCCATCAAAGCCAGCAGGCCGACGGTGTCCCAGGAAGACTTGCACAGGAATGAGGAGTGGACCAAGGAGTTTGGTAGTGAGGGTGCGTAGGTAGAGTGACCGCAGTGGGGATGGGACTGTGGATGGAAGTATGGATGGGGTGTAATTGTTTATTCTGTTCTGGCTTCATGTTGTTGTTCATTGGTGCTGTTTGGTTCTCTCCCATGGAAAAGCGAAGGAGTAGGTAGTGTACAGAGGGCAGGCGGGCGGGTATCTGGATGTTTACTTTGTCTTGGGGGCTTCATTCAACTTTGCCCCTTATTTATGTTAGCAGCACATAGCATGCGGTTGTATGCACATGTTTGTTATGAAAGACTTTGACGATGACGAGATTATTTTCGGAGAGTTACATAGTCATAATACGGTCGGTGTTCCTCGAGTTTCTCGTCTTTCTTCATGTCACGATCACAATCAACAAGATCAAGACATTCCAAGTCTTCGTTTAATGAGCCTTTGTTTTTACCCACATCGCATAATCGCCATATGCTCCATGCTCCATGGGTATGAATGCTAGTACAGTACACAACACGCACATCACCGCTTTTTTCGAACCCTTTTTGCGGCCGCCAACCCTCTCTATGATCGATCAGAAAAGTCGTGTAGATGGCAAGAGATGTGAATGTGACGGACGACAGACAACGACGAACTATTTATGATTCTTGCCAAGAGAAACAAGTAACGAAGACCCGTAAAACTCCTTTGTACCAGATTTGACCCATAACCCATACATTATAAGAAACTCCCGAGGATAACAACAACAGAACAAGAATGACGTGCAAGAAACGCGGAGAGAAGCTTCTAAACAAGAGAGAAAAAAGAGAAGATAAAAATCGAGAAAAAAGACACAAGTGTTGACGCTGGTTATTGGTCTCTTTTTTACTCAGACTTCTTCGACTTCTTCTTCTTCTTCTTCTCGGGTTCCGCAGCGTCGGGGGCGTCTACCATCTCGACGTCTTCGCTGGTCGCTTTCCTCTTCTTGTCCTTCTTGTCCTTCTTCTCCTCCTTGTCCTTCTTCTTGTCCTTCTTCTCCTTCTTGTCCTTCTTCTCAGACTTGTCCTTCTTGGACTCGGAAGAGACGGTGTGGGCGGCGGTCTTGGTGTCGAGCATCTCCGTGTCAATGTCCATGTCACCCTCGTCGTCCATGACGAGCTTGATGGCCTTGTCCATGGCCTCGGTGTTCTTCATGGGCTTGATGCCCTTAGCGTACCACTCCAGACGCTGCTCAAGCTGTTCGCGCATAACCTCACCAAAGCGGCGAGGGGGTTCTCGGAGAAGTTGTCGATACGCGAGGCGATGGAGCACTTGTTGGCGAGGTAGCGGGAGATGCGGCCCTTGACCTTGGGACCGGCACGGCCGATGAAGGTGCTCTGGTACAGGAGACCGTACTTGGGGGTAGCGCCCTTGGTCTTGAGAGCGCGGAAGAGGGCCTTCTCGGCACCGAGAATCTGGAGGGTCGAGGCGGGGTACTTGGCGAGGTTGGTAAGGGAGCCGGCGTGGGAGATGAGGCGGGCGGCGACGGGGGTGCCGAGGATGACCTGCAGGTTAGGAGCGACCTCGCCCATCTTCTTGTCGAGCGACTCGGCGAGGATGCGGCGGAAGTCGGCCATCTTGGAAACGTTATCCGCGAGGTCCTTGACCATGTTGAGATCCATATCGCTGATGTCCTGACCCATGGAGACCTTGGCGGCCTGGATGATGGCCTTGGCCTTGTCCTCGTCCTGGTTAAGGACGTTGGCGAGATCATCGATGGACTCGTCGGTGAGGGTCTTCTTGTTGCCGACAGCGATCACGCACTTGGCGTAGGTGCCGTTGTCGGAAACGATGCGGATGAGCTCGGGGAAATGCCAGCCGTACCACTCCCTCACGCGCATAGCACCTGAGTTGATACCCTTGTCGAGAGCATCAAGGGTAGCGATACCTTGGATGATGTGGTTGTCGTTCTTGTGGACGGAGAACTTAACCTTGGCGCGGGAGTAGGCGTGACCAAGACCGAGCTGGGCGCGGTTGATGTCACCGTCCTGGAGACCCTTGAGGAGCTTGCTGGCGTGGGTGCGGATGCCGCGAAGGAGGGCAGCGACGACCTCAGAGGTATCGGCAGCCTCGCACTGAACACCGGGGAAGGTTCCGCTGATCTCACCAGCGAGCCTCTTGTCGACGACACCGAGGACGATCTTGCTCTTCTTTCCGCTGGTCTGGGGGAGGTTGAGTTCGAGGGTGTTCTTGAGATGGTCGGGCATGATACCCTCGGAGATGAGGTTGATGGCCTCGAGACCGTGGGCGGCAGAGCTGTGAGGGGGGTAAGGCGTGTTAGTTAATTGATTCACAATTACAATCCCATGTGTCCTCCCAGCTTAATCATCCCAGACATCACCACAATATCACCACAACTCCAACCAAAAACACCAACCCCAAAACAACAACACATTGCCACCTACTTCCAAGGGTTGAAGCTGCGGAGCTTCACCATCTTGCCAAACTTGTCGAGATCCTTCATGGCATCCTTGACCTCGGGCAGCTCCAAGCCGACGGTGTCAGCCTGGTGGACGACCTCGAAGAGCGAGAAGCCGACCGCGCTTTCGAACAAAAGATAGTTGACGTTGGCCATCTTGTTTATGGTTGTTGATGATGACTCTGTGTGTGAAAGGGGCGACTGTGTGTGTAAAAACCGGTGCGCTGGGGTATCGTGTGTCGTGCGCAATTGGGCGTCGTTCAATGCCACCGGTGCATGAACTCAGTCTTCGGTCTCCGGGAATCAGAACAGTCGCTGTGTTTGGATATTTTTTTGCTCTGCCACTTTTGCCCTGGACAAGTTTTTTCGAAATTTTTGCGGCAAGCTCATGACGGAGCACGGGCCATGGACATGCGGGGTGGGGATTCTACCCCAACTGACGGGCGCATTGGCGACCCCATTGGCCCATTTCGGGGTGTAAGTTTGGAGGGCTTGGCATTTTGGCATCGATTCCAGTGCGGAGCTTGAGATTTTGGTGTCGATAAGAATCCTGATAAGAGTAATATGCCAAGGAGCACTGCCAGCTGATGGGCAGCTGTCTGCTTTTTTGGCTGTTCAGTCTGTCTGTCACTCTGTCTTGCGCCAGTCTTAAGTGTCACTCACACAACACAGGTCAGCAGTTCCTCTTTCGAGTCACTCCCGTCCAACACACTCAACTCGTCCAGTCTTGGTCGTCCTCCCACAACGGAACATGCTACCCAAATTAACCACACTCTTCTTTATTTGACACTCCCACTCTTCGCACCGCACTGTACCAGATTGCATATTGCACCTACACTATTTTCTTATTCCCATCCGGCCAATGGTCAATTTCCCCCCAACTCACATCAGCCCTATCGGCTCGATCTGCATGTCTGACCTGGGACAGATTGAGGCTTGGACTGTTTTGGCGGTGTCCGTAACAGTTCTGTTTCGATCCCTTTACGGCTTTCCGGAGAACAAGCAGGCGGATGATTAATGCCGAATTCTTGGTCTTTTTCATTTGGAAGGCAATGCCACAATCCCCTCCTTCAACTTCCAATTTGCTGATATGCAGTGGCCATATTCCCATCTTTCTTACCTACCTACCTACCTTCCTTTGTTGTTGACCGAGATACATACAGGACTACCTTACGATATGCAGTCAGATAAAAAATGTGAAGGCGTCGTCACGGGGTCTCGCTTCTCGCCTCAACCTGATTTTCTTGGTCCTCTCTCAGTCTTCCCGGCTTCCCTCTACCACCTCATCAGCGTCTCTACATGACCACCACGGACTTGGGCTGTCACAAGTGTTGACAGCTTCGCATTGCAAACAAGACTCACGTCCAGATATGGAGTACCAACCGAACATACCGGAACACCGGATGACTCAAGCCAACACTATTGACTGCCCGGTCTCAGTACCCGCAATGCGTTATCATCGTCGTCTACTACGACGTCGATGTTGTCGTCAGGGCGTGGGGCAAACATGGCGAGTCTAGACTGACTAACAGACAAACACACACACCTAAACATCATTAAGATAGACTGGTGATGCTCTGACTAATATGCCAGGTCGTTCATCATCGCCATCACTTCCTATAGAGGCCACTGTCTGGATGATCACCATCGTCGCAATATGGAATAGGCCCTCTGGCGTCTGCGGTATTGGTCGCCAAACGGTTCCGTCCGGCCGGACATCCAATCAACGACAAACAACTCCGGGATTTCCAGTGATGATACAGTGGCAGAAGTGGCTGAAGAGCCCTACAGGATGCACGACACCGTCTGGGTTCAGACACCCCCAAATCGCCCCAAATCCTCCCGCTCTTCAGCGCATCAGGGTCGATGGCGCACCACTCCGGCCCGTCGCATGGATGTGGTGCTGCCTTGTATCATTTCCACTTCGGTATCGTAGCGTCTACAGTAACCACGACAACCACAACAACCACGATACTACACAGTACCCAGGTCAAATCAGCCTCTTCCGACTGATCCCCCAAGTCATTCCTAATCGATAGTGGTCTGGGGCATAGTGATTTGTATATCTGTTTGTATACAAGATGGTTCTTCCAATCGAGCCAGCATGGTTTTCGTCCAAGAGTTTTTTGTTGGTCTTTGACCGCGGAATACACGCATGACTTCCAAATTAGGGGTATCAACATCAACAAAACAAACCTGCTATGGACCCGTACGGTTTGTACCTATTTGACCAACATATTAAACTAAATCGGTACTTGACAGGCCCAGGAAACAGCGCTGATACTACCCTCCATCGTCCCAAAGACACCATTGGATGCCCCAGTCGCAGCCTGTACCAGTGGCGCGCAGCTGCGATGAATTCCCGTCTACACCGACCTTCCAAGCCGTGAGACTATCCAGAAAGGTACTCTGCAGTATCTGTCCCACCCGTCCCCCTTGGTTCAGCCTTATGCCCTTGGGGGTTACGTCGCTGTACAGCGGCATCTCCGTACGACCATCATCACATCCTACTCTGCGACCCTAGCCTGCTACTAGCTCCATAGGAACAATGGTCGGCTTACAAGCTCTGCGCCGGCACACCCCACGAAACCATCACGAAGGGCCGTGACTTCGCCTTCTTCTTACATGATACTGCCGTCCCTCCGCGTCACCCTATGGGCCGGCATAGATAATGAGAGCACCGCCTCCTCCAGGAACCGTTCCGTCTCCCGGTAGCTTGGTTACTTCTACCCGGATCACGTTTAACGCTTGGACAACCTCTTGGCTTCACCATCCTCACAATGTCTTGCACAGCCCTGTGCGCAGCCAGATCGTGAATCCACTTCATCACTTGGTCGAATGAGCATAGGTTTGGACCCTCAAGACATGATCTCACACCCCTAGGGCTTTGATAATAAGAACGACACCATTTCTTGAACAAGGCCGATCTGGAGGTAACCCGCTTCCTGCCTTATTTACACGGCATCCTGCCCAGGCTTGCTCTTGACTGGTAACTTTGGCTTACACATTTGTTGTCTGATAGGAGTCATCCACGATACTACCACAGGATAGACATTTTGTTCATGGCTCCGAATTATTCTCAGCCCAGGGTGGACCCTGTAGAAAAAAGATTCACGAGCTACGCCGTTGGAGAAAATGATACAGCCTCGTACCAAGTCCCGACTACACTTAGCAAGCATTCCTACCCCGAGATACGTACCAGCAACATCTGGCGAGAGAACGAAGAGAACGATTACTTTCCGACTTCTCATCATGATCTCACCAGCAAAAACTCCCGCGCCTCACTCGCCTCGACATCGAGACGGAGCTCAGCTGCTCCTAGCATCTTTTCGACTGCTGGCTTGAGGATTTCCACTGCCTCGACGGTATACTCGCGGTACTCGGTTCGACAACACTCCCTGGACTCAGCGGACCCTATGTCGTCTGCAACACCTTGGGGTTCTGAAAGATGCGATGACGGCTACAACACTGACGACTACCCACTTCGTTACTGTTGCACGTTTTGCGACGCCATGTTTGCGTGTCCCGTACAGTGGAGGGACCATGAACTCAAGGACCACGACCGACCTGAGGAGCACATGTGCTCCATTTGCAACGATACTTTTCCAGAGGGGCCATCTATTGCATTCCATCGCCGATATGTCCACAGCCTCTCTTCTCCCCAAACGACTGAACACATGGTCAAGCTACCAACAAGAGGAGCTTGGGGCTGTGGATTCTGCGGTGCCTTTGCGGAATCACGTCATGACTATCTCGATCATGTTGGCAGGCACTGTGAAGAGGGCATGCAAAGAGTCCATTGGCAGCACTCTTCTGTGATTCGTGGCCTCCTGAAACAGCCAAAGATCGCGGAAGCATGGAACCGTCTGGTTTCGAATCAAGAGCAGGAGCGAGGTACCAAGTTGCACTTTACGTGGGATGAACAGGCGACCGGGCGACAAGCAACCACGGAGGTCGATGCCTGCAACCCCTCTCGGCTGCAGGATGTACTCGAGTTCTTCTCAAACAACTCTTCGGACCCCCAGAGCATCGTGCAAAATGTCTTTGACGTGGCTCAAATAAGGACGGAACAGAAAGTCAGCAGTCATGTCAAGGCATACTACCCCACGTCACTACGCCCGTTATCAGAGAGTCCAGACGACATTGCCTTATTTCTAGTTGACGGGATGGGCCGCCTAACCGTCGGACCACCCCAGATCGATGAAGGTTATCCGGACAATCCTTTTCCGTGCGATTCTTGTCTAATCCCGGTGTCATCGACCAGGGCGGTTTCCATTGCAACGTTTCCTGATCAAACCACTGCGGCAGAATCACTGTTTGCCGGTTGGAATCCATACGCTCATGCCCAACCCAATTCAAGCCAGACTCGGGAAAAGGACATCGCACCGCATCGCACAAGCCAACCAAGCACTACGGAAAGCACTTCGCTTATTGTGCCCAAGACCAATGTAGTTTCACAATTGAAGCCGATTTCGACACCATTGGGAAAAGGGCTACGCCGGATAGATAGCGATAGGCATCTTCATGCTCTCAAACCTGGAGCTGTGGCCTTGCCCCGAGGAGAAGATATCGAACGTCCACGGACTGCTTTGGCCGCAGATTACGCCGGAGTCGGAACATCAGTATCTGCAGAACATGACGTAGAGGCTACTCAGCAGCCATCCCTTTCAGACGCTCTGCTTGAACTTGATCCAAGGAACAGCGTAGTTCGCAAGGACTGGCTGCTCGTTCCGAAAGGGAGCCGCTCTTCAGTTGGGTCACCGTCTGTCTCAAGTATGCATTCTGGCAACGCCAGGAACAGATTATTGACCCTCGATGATAGCACCAGTGAACGTGTCTCGGAGGACAGTTTATCTGATCCAGATCTCTTCGCAGAACATGACATCAGTAACGATAGCAGCAGAGCTTGGAGGAAAGCCTATCAGCAGGCCATCAACCTGGTGCTACAACGACTCTGGTCCCAGTATAATGAAAACTGGGAGGCATTGATCAGATCATGCGTCGGGAGTGTAGGGAGCAGTAACGCCGACAGGATGGATCCATATCGAGCTGGGAAGGCCACACCGTCTCGCCGAAGGCCGGGCGGAACCCTTCGACCCCCAAGTTCGCGGCGGACCCCCGACGACGATGACGACGAAGAAGATGATGACGGTAGTCAACCGTCGCCCTATCCCTCCAGGCCTGGGTCCGCAGCATCGAAGAGATTTGCTTGTCCGTTCCGTAAGCACAACCCGGAAAAATACAACCGTGTGGACTATGATATCTGCGCCAACAAGGACTGGCCGACCATTCCAAGACTGAAGTAAGCATGCCGACCACAATTCCTAGACCTGAACCCGATGTTCGTCGCTAACATGCTGTGTAGGGAGCATCTGTATCGAAGACACTACAAGATCCATTGCCAACGGTGCAAGCAGACTTTCAGCGATGCGAGACAGCTCACCATTCACGAGATGGCCCCAGAAGCCTGCGAACTCCTCGATATCAAGCCGCCTGGAGACATTACCACATCACAAGAACGACAGCTCAAGTCTAGGAAGCATACACATCGGCGCCAGAGCGACGAGGAGAAATGGAGGGAGATTTATCGACTACTATTCCCCAATGATATTATGCCGTCACCTTGTGAGTGCCCCCAGAACCTTACCACCCACAACACCCAGACAGACTGAAGACTGACCGAATTGTCAACAGATCCCGAATACGCAGAAGATTTCCAGCCTATGGGCACCGAGTCTCGAAACGTTCTCGAATTCCAACACTACCTGTTGACGGAAATGCCCCGGCTTTTCACACAAGCGGCCTACGAATACGCCGGACAACACATACAAGATCAAGTGCTGCTCCGGGTTGACGACGTCAACAAGATCATCGAAGATACCCTGCAACAAGCCTACGACACGTGGACATTACAAGGGCGTCTGCTGCCGCCGAACATCAGCCCGTCCATTTCGATGCGTGAGTTCCCAGCGGCACCGGCTCCCCCGGCTGGGCATCTGACCAGCATGCCATCGACTACCTGGTCCGAAACGCCTATGCCGCCTCCCCCGTACATGCAGGAACAGTCGGCGTCCTCTTTTCTGCCCAATACCTCCGCTCCCGAGTATGCACTTTTCCCTATCGCATCTGATATGGAGGCCATGCTCACCCTCGACGACATCGACATACCTGTCTCCAATCCAGCTGGGTCTGCGCCGAGCTACACGAGCAGCTACACGAATAATGAATACATGACGACAGGGCCTGACGTGCAGTATACTGGCGCTGGCTTCTGTCCTTACAATGGTAACCCGGGCGGGAATCCGAATTGGTTCTAAACCATCTCTGATAATACAGGGGCGCAAGACCCTTTCCACAAGAGACCACAGACGATGGCTGAATTGGAATGGACGAAGGCCAGGGCTTCTCACCCACGTTGTTGAAGCAGGATTCGTTTGGAAAGCGCCTCCTTTAGATTTGGGGTGATTCTGAAAGGACAATCAGTGCCCGACCATGCAGCCATTCATTGTTCCAAGAATGTGGTGGTGGTTAGTTTGTGATCGATAACAGCAACTAGATCTCATATTCTATAGACTGTGGGAGAAGCCCATTACTTTGCACTTTTTTTCGCCCAGACATATGATCCTCCAGGATGCCATGTCCCTCGCCCTCGATTGCTCATTTTTACGGCCACGGCTTCCAACTTTCCACGTCGCGATGATCGGTTCTTCCTCCTCCAAGTATCGATCGATGCATTCCATGTCCCTTGCCCCAGAACTGACAGATGCCCTGTAAGCCGTGTTAATTAGGAAGTCACGGTAGCTGGTTGCTGTTACCATGCAAGTCCCCAATGCGCTTCGATCGGAGCAGTTTTAGAAAGTGATAGTGGGTAGACACGGAGGTAGTGGACCACAATTAGGGTAAACATCGACACCTTCCCGAGATAACACGTGAAAGAATTGGGCAGCTTTGTAACCAAGATGACCAGGAACTTCTGCTTTCGATCCTTCCTGCTACGTTGTACCTCGGCACTACGAGGGCAAAGGCCTCCTTTTCACCTGGCAGTTCCAAGTCCCCAGCATTCATTGTCACTGCTTCCGCTTCAGTTGTCTTGAAGGCCACTGCAAGTCTCCATGACCTCATCCCCCAAGGAGGAAGAGAGATGATCAAAGCGCAAGTTCGACTTCCCTCGCATGTAGTGGTTCAACCGGGCACTCTCGGATCTCCGCAGCGACGACGTAGGTACACTACCATGGTGTTTCCCAGTCCAAAGATGTTTGGGGATGGATGGGATGTACTTGCACTACGTATTCGTGGGTGCAGGTGGACTTTGAGGAAGTGACTACTTGTGCCTGGTGCTAGAGTGGCCAAGTGGAAGGTCTGAAGTACCAATGGGAAACTTCAGATTCGGAGAAGGGAAAAGGCTCGCGAAGTGGCTGAGAGAATAAACCGAACATGTCATGGCTGAGTGCATTACTTCACCTTTGAAATATTCGGGTTTGCGTGGATGCGTTTTGTGTCCAAATTCTGGACGGTTCGTGGGCGGAAGAATCTCTGGGGGAATGACTCTATTCGAGGCACGCGTTTTCGAATCATTGTAATCTCTATCACAACTTTGCAAAGACCTTTCCCAATTGCAAGGAGCGGTAGAGGCAAATATTGGCTATGGGTGCGCGGCTTTGACCAAGGACACCCACCACAACCGGTCATCGGGTTTCAATGGCCTGCCTTCCATCATTCCTTCCTCTACGTCAATGACAACTACCTCTAGACCGTTCTCATCGCTCTTTCCAGTCCCCAACTTTCCTAGGATGGAGCTTGGGTTGGGGGTGGTTTAAGTATACCGTCCTACTCGTCTTTTTTGGTTCTCTTTCTATTTTCCGTCTTCCACCCCGCGACAGAATCACACATTCACATCCAAATTGTCAACGTCGTTCTTTTTTTTTCTTCTTTTTTTTTGGACATTTGAAACATCCCTTTTGTGTAAGATTACCTGCATCGTTTGAACAACCAATCAGTACATCATTCTCTTGAGCTGTCATCAAAATGAGTGACCAGGAACGAGGAAGACGCCCTACAACTCCGCCCCGTGCAGATTCTCCCCGTGCAACATCCGCGGGAGAGTTACAACAAGAGTATCGCGAGCTAATCCTCAGGGATGCCCAAGCCGCTGGGTTGGACGTTCAGCCAGCAGATGTGAGTACAGTGTGCATATGTCACCAGCTTCCATTCACGGTCATCAGCGATGTGTCAACAAGCCAGCAAGCTGACACGAATTGCACACATAGCTCGAACCTCCTGATCTTCCTTCGTTCCTGGGACTGTCAGAGATGGATAGCCAACACCATAATGAGACACTTACCTCCACCCAAAAGGAAGAAGCGATTCGCAAGCTTATCGGCGTCGGCGGGACCGGGAAGAATACCATCGAGTCAACGACCACGGAAGTCACCGACATCGCCAAGTCAAGTCCAATTGCATCTGGTTCCGTCGCGTCAGCAGCATTATCGTCATCCACCGCCAAATTTCTCCCGGTGCGAGGGCGTCAAGCTACCCTGTTCCGCCCAGGCTCGCCGGAACCAAGCGTTGGGAGTCCTTCGCTTTCGGCTCGGGCTCGAATTCACTTCATTGACGTTGCTGGACCTCCTCCGCCTGTAGTCCCTAACTACCCCGCGATCAAGGACATCGCATCATCTGGTGCAGGGGCAGGTGAGAGGGCATCGTCTTTGCGACAATATGCATCGACTCCACCTCCAAAGGCATTTTCTCCGCCTGCAGAGGCCACTTCTTCGACTGCAAATGCATTGCCTCTGCGACGGAGGGCGTCGTCTTTGCGCTCAAGATCGAGAGCTTCTTCCCGCTCTGTAATTTCGACAAGGCGGCTGCCTAGTCCCATGGCAATGTGTCCCTCTCCTCTTGTTTCGGACTCCCTAAGCGCAGTGATAGCGATTTCGCAGAAGAAAACACAAGTGCGACTAGCGCTTGGTTTCAAGGATGATGAGACCTTCCAGGTGTGGTGCCGGCGCTGCGTTGACACGAGTTTTGATGAGTTCGCCAGGCCTTATATGAGGGATTGGCCAAATTACTCTCACCATCTGACTACGGAAGAAGTGAACGAGGCAACCGAGATTGGTCGTTATGCCTTGATTGCGCTAATCGAGAATGACGAGGCTCGATATCTTGAAGGTGATTGTGAGTTTTTCCTTTGTTCCTTTTTCTTTCTTTTCCTGTCACAAGGATATGACAGTGACTAATCGATGTTATCCCGTAAAGTGAACCGGCTTCAGCTTGTTGCGCGCTTCGCTGTTGATGTAATCAAAGATGACCAAAACGCGCATGCTGAGATCCCTGAGGATACCGACTTTCTTTGTGAGCATCCATTGGGAAACACACAAAAGATCCGCGCACTGGTCAGGTTGGCGGACTTCATGCTCGACTGCCAGTTGCTCGAGGTGTCAACGAAGCGTGAGTACTTTGCGCGATCGGCCATGGAGAGTGAGCGCCGCAAACGTGATGAGGCGGTTATGGAAGACAACGACGATGAGACAGTGAGTAGTACGGAGCGGCGCATGGAGTCCGTCTTGAAATAGAGGGAGCAAGCGGTACAAGTCCTACCGATGGATACATCCTCCGGAGAGAAGCTGAAGTGATTGTTGCTGTTTTTGTATGGCTTTCGTTCAGTATGATGGTTTTAATGTGCAGTGTCGAGCGGAAGAAACATTAGCGAAGTATGGCCATGACCAGTATAGCTTAGAGAATTGCTACGACTTCCAAATGAGACACCGTTGATATAGCCTAAAACTGGTTTTTGCATAGTGAGCTTGAGACATCGGGACAAATCCTCCAAATGTTTCCATACCTATATAAGGGATTCGTTTCGTTCCATGCCCAAGGCATAATTTCGCTCTGAATATGCTCTTTCAGGGTTTCAGTGTGCCATATTGAATCATGTTGATGCCTTTCCGATCCGTACCTAACCATTAAACTTACTTAGACCTTGTGAGGTGAGATTTGGAGCAATTTCGGATAGATCTCCTCCCATATACGAGGAGTACCAAGCTAACAAACAGACCAACATATCAGCCATCATGATGTTCGCTGAAACACATTGTCTCGCTCTTGTTCTTGAACCACAGAAATAAGAGGGGAGTGAAAGTCGTAATATTGAAGAAGAGGATCTTGAAGGCTACATACAAACGAACGCGAGGAAAAGCTACCTACCTCTAGCTAAGGGTGGTGCTGGAGTGGCCTCCGCCTAGTCGGCAAACACAGCCAGCTACTGACTTAAGTTGGCTATGGGTGGTACAGTTAGTACTAACACGATGCGCCCAGAATGTCAAACGCACCATCATCACGAGAAATAACAAAGACACTCGTTGTTGGCCCTCCAGTCACTGTTCTGAAACTACCTCAATTCATTAACCATGTAGGCCATGCCCACTGGCTCGTAAAGTAAAATACCCTCCACATAATAACTCATGAGAGAACCCAGCGAAGACACGTTCACACCGAACAATTAAGCTTCTAAGAGTAAGTAGACTAAGCAGCCAACAAGCCCTTCTTCTCCAACCACCCCTTTACCACAGCCCTCACGTCCTCCGTCTGCAAGCAGAGCTTCTCATTTGCGCTGTCCTCGTCCTTGAGTTCATTCCCCGCCCCGTCCGCGAGGAAATAAGCCTTGAGGAAATCCACGAACGCGGAGTGGTCGCCCTTGGCGAGGTTGGGCAGCTTTTCTTCGCCGCTCTTGAAGATATCCTTGGAATCCGCCCTGGTAACTGCAAATTTCTTGCCGGTTAGCTCTTCGACGATGGCGAGCACCTGGTTCTGCGACACGTTGAAGGAGGCCGTCGACAGGTACTGGTTCTTGGTGATGTCGGGGTGCCGCAGGATCTCGGACACAGCGCGACCGATGTGCGAACGCAGAGAGGCCGGCCACGGCTGGGTGCCCGAGTCGACGATAGTTGCGGTGTTGGTGAGGGGAGAGATGCCTGTTAGGCCGTTTTCGAGGGCCTGGGACATAAGAAGTGGTTATTAGCATCATTTTCGATGTTCCACGACATGCCATGAATCCGACAGAGAGAATATCAAGGGGAACGGGAAGCAACATACCGAATCAAAAAAGAACCCCGTCGACAGTCCCGTCCAACTAATCTTATCCTCGTTTTGAATGAGGTAATCAACCACCTTCCGCTTACCGGCCAAAAACTCGCCCACCCGCGTCTTCTCCACGCCCGGCTTGCGGGTATTCACGCCAAACTCCGAAGGCACAAATCGCTTGACGCCCGCCGCGATGGCCGCGTCGATGATGGATTTTTGGACTTGCTGCGCCGCGTCCGTGGAAATAACCGAGATCACGGCGTCTTGGCCCGCAAAGGCGGCCTGCAGCGAAGAAGGGGAGGAGTAGTCGACTTCTTTGAAGGCGACGTCGTAGGGTTCGAAGGAAGGCTTGGGAGAGGTGGAGCCGGCGCGGGTTAAGATTGTGACCGAAAACCCGCCGACGAGGAGGGCGCGGACTATGTGCTTGCCTAGGTTGCCTGTGCCCTGTGGTTTTGGGAGTGTGTGTCAGATGGCTTGTGGATGATAGTGGTGGAGGAAATGGGAGAGAAAGGGGGTTTGGAGATTTTGGGAGTGATTTGGGGGTAATGACTTACACCGAGGACGGCGACGGTGTTGATGGTGGAAGACATGATGACGGTTGGTTGGTATGATAGCTAGAGTTGCTTGTCTAATTCGGATTGTTGCTTTGTCGACTCAAGATCCTGTGATTTCTTGATGTTCTTGTATCAAAATCGACAAATGGTTTCTGATGTTCAAGAATAAAAGTCAGGAGACAGTTGCTAGAGGTAACCTGCAACCACGCTGCACTCCGTCCCTTCCTCAGGGGCAACTACTTATTCTTTCCCAGCTCTTCCCCTCACCTCATCCTCCACCTTTCCGTCGACATGCCGCTCTTTTGTGAACCGCGATCAAAGACATCATGCAACATCATTTATCAGCGGAACATATCATGCATCATGATGTTGCAAGATTGGCCCGGTATGACATGCATAATTCCAAACTGCAAAGAGGGTTGTACCCACCGCCACACACCGAGTCCAGGTAACTTTAGGTGGGCCAATGAGATGCACAGAACCAAGACGTTTAAACGTTCGAGGAGTGAGGACCCAGGGGACCCCTTGATGATCGGTTGATCTGCCGAATTTAACCAGGAAATGTGTGGCAGCATGTCCTCGATTGCGTCGTTGATTGACTGGATTTCGTAAGATGCCGGCACGAAGCGCAAAGTGGAAGGATTTGGCTTGTGATGAATATCAATGTGAGTTTGCAGCCCAGTTCCAACAACAACCAATAGGGATTGTAGTATAGTGGTCAGTACTTCTCGTTGTGGTCAATTCGACATACAACGATTCCGAGAGGACCCAGGTTCGATTCCTGGCAATCCCATCTTTTTGCGCTTTTTGGTAGGCAACTTTCCTTGTTGCCTTGTGGACATTTCAATATCATGTTTTCCTTTTGTCCTTGAATGGTCCTTTTGGGGTTTGCATCAATTTTGTTAATTCAGTGTCCATGAAGCTGCGAAATGTGAAACAGATGCTGATTTCTTGCTTTTGGGAGGACGAGAAGGTGCAAGCGAGGGCATTCTTTCTTCGACTTGGGAACTCCTTCCCGACTTCACTCAGGATAACGATTGCGAGAGACTCTTTGGAGGAAGGCGCAATGAACCACCCCGAAACAATGGCCCCATTATCATCCTCCTGACTTGATGTCCGTCAAAGCAATGAACAGGTGACTGCGATATGAATGAAGCTTGTTGGTGAAAACGGAAGCAAACTTCGTGGTCGCGCTTCAGGAAATATTTGTTCACTATCAGACATACACTATGTTTGTTCGCTTCGCTGTTAATGTGACTTGCCTGCCGGAACCACTTGGCATTTCCGTGCCCTGCCCTTCTTGCCTGCCGCACGTACTTGTTGCACCAGCCGAAATGCCCTCTGCAATTGCTGCATCCAAGCGCTGTCAACATCATTTGCGGGCAGGTGCGTTCGTGACAGCCTTTGATGTCCAATCTCTCGCCCAACAGCTCTTCCCTTCTCCTTTGCGTCCCATTTCATCATGGAATCAGCTTCTTGTTAATGCCTTGTATGCTCGGATAACAGAGCTTTTGCACAATGCCCTGCCTCAAGATGTCAATTGACACCACCATTCCTTGCTACCCAAATCCCCATGCCACAGGTCCCACGCGTGTCGTTGGAGCTCCAGCTCTTTGAATCAATTCGAGCCGTCGACACGACCTGAATGATGCTCCTCGTGTCATTTGCCATGCGACCAACACCACTGGAAATGCCCTTCGAGGAGGGGATTCGTGATACACCACGTTGTCTGTTGTGGGCAGTGTTTGCTCGTTCGTCCAACTTGTCTCCCCTGTCACCAGATTGACCTGCTAACTGACGACGCAACAGGGCGCCATCGAACCCATTCTGCGCAGCGAGTCTTCGTCTTGCCTTACTGGCGCATTTTCCAACGCATCTCAGAAAACCATCCATTCAACCCTGTTGCCTGGCTCAACAGAGAACGACCAAGTGGCTATACCCAACCCATGTTCTGGTGGATCGAGTAATTCTTCTGCCTTCGCCCGATTCAGAATGCAGATCACCATGAACAAGCCACCCACGAGGTCGGACTTTGACGTCGGATTAGGCTTGGGTCCCGGAAATTCGTTGCCAGAGGTGGCGCTGACTTCCCGAGCCCTATAAGGATGATAATTCTGGTGCCTACAGCACCTGAAAATACCGCCGGGAGTTTCTGACAGTTCGACGGCATCGTGGACCCAAACCCCTACACGTGGACTGCGCCGCTGTCTTCCAGGGGTCTCACAGATACGCCTGTCCACCACCATTGGCTTGAACCCGGTCACCGTTGCATCCCACGGCACGAAACACCACTTCTAAGTTCTCGGATCTGGCTTACCTTCAGCCACAGATCTCGAAAATTATACCTGTCTCTCGGACTCTTCTTCGTTTGACCGGTTTAATCCAGGATTCCAGAATTACCGCAAGGCGGTTGGGACTGAGCCTCAGGTCATCACTCTGATGGGTGAGGCTTGTCCCTTAGTGCTGACCGGGAAAATCCTTTGGCACGAAAATCCCCGGACATGGAGATACACCAGCATTCTGGAGGAAGGGCTGTGTGCTTGTTTTTGGTACCATCTTCAAGTGTCTGTGTTGTATATCATGGCGCACCAACTTCATCCCACAGAGTACAAACTCCTCATGACCTTGTCCGAAAGACCTCTGGTTATAGCAAAAGCACCCTCACACGCCTCGACGGATCCCAAGACGAACGGCTCCCGGGACAGGCCACCATAATCAACAATGGCTAAAGACATACCCCAAGAAATACCCGAAAACGTGGTTGACAACCTGTCGACGTCCAGTGAAATTGAGCTCTTCTCCATGCTCGACTCTAGCATTCGGAGCGGAGCACTCCAAGACCCTTTCTTCCCAGTGGACGCTGTCAACGGTCCACGTTTCCTCGACACACAGGCCTGTCTTTGCCAACTTCGGCCAGAACCCGTAAAGGGCGACACAGTATGGTGGCAGTGTGTCGGAAACCAGTTCAACATAACAGATATCGGAGGAAAGTGGTTCCAGGCCAAGAATGTTGATGGTCTCAACCTCGATGCCAACAGCACTCTGGGTCCTAGCTATGATGCATCATATCCTCCAGACTCGTCGCAAGGGTTCGAATGGGATAACACTCAGCAACAACTGGTTATAACAGGAGGAAGGACACCAGGTCTTAGCGTGTGGGTACACCGCCTGTACAGCAGAGAACAACACCCTCTTCTCGACTACCCTCTATCGTGCGGCCGCCGAGATACAAGCAAATCAGACACCCGTCAACGCAGCACCATGCTGGAGACCTGGGGCGGTCCCCGTCCAAATACAGGACTATGAAGACTGGTGGGGGAATGGGTGCAAAGATGGATTCCTTTGTATGTGTATTCGCGCTACCCTCCTGCATCTCTCCCTTGTCCACTCCAGAAAGAAACTAACACCATCGAGGCTCAAACAACACTGTCAACTCACTTCCCAGTTCTGTCTCCAGTTACCGAATGCCAGCTTGCCAGACTAGGCGGCATTGCCTGCGAACTCAGTGACGCTAACATCGGTATGGGTCCGTTCGAGCCCGTCGTTTGCCAAGCTGGATGGTACTGTCCTCGGGAAGAAAAGGGGATGGTCACTCTCAAGTGTCCATCTGGCCACTACTGCCAGGCGGGCGCAGCTACGCCCACACCATGTGCGGTTGGGAGCAGGTGTCCAGAAGGCTCACAGTTTGAGCGATATCTTTTACCCATTGTCCTTCTCATCGTCATTGATGTGTTGCTCATCCTTGGCATGATTTATCTCGGTATCCGCAAAAGACGCCGCAACGCCTCTCCTGGAGCCATCCCACAGAACAGCTTCGCATCTTTCATTGGCGGCTATAAGCAGGTCTCAGAAGAAAGACACGAGGAGGTCGACTACGAGATGGCCCTGCTGAGACGAACCAGGCGTCAAGACACCTTTAGAGGTCTTGGTGATCAGCTATACGAGCAAGCACCTCCTCTTCGTCGCGGGAAGACCGTCCGTCACAACCCCGACCCGGAAATCTCGCCTACTATCAGAGCCTTCGTCGACTCGATGCGCAAAGCTACTTCTGCTTCCGAATTTGGCCTGTCGTTTGGCTACAACCAACTGACCTTTGCACCCAAGAACAGCAAGAGGCCAATTCTCCAGAACGTCACTGGATCGATCAACAGCGGAAGCCTCACTGCAATAATGGGCGGCTCGGGCGCTGGCAAGTCAACCTTCATCAACGTTCTCATGGGCAAGACTCAGTACACCAAAGGCAGTGTCAGCGTTAACAACGTTCCTGGAAAGCTCAAGCAGTACAAGAAGCTTATTGGCTACGTGCCTCAAGACGATATTGTCTTGCCTGAGCTGACCGTCTACGAGAACATATTGCACTCGGCCAAGATTCGGTTGCCGCGCACCTGGACCAAGTCCGACATCGAGACTCACGTTAACGCCGTTATCGATTGTTTGGAACTCTCCCACGTACGTGACAGCTTGGTCGGCAGTGTTGGGAAGCCTGTCATTAGTGGTGGTCAGCGCAAGCGTGTGAGCATCGGTATGGAACTAGCGGCTGCTCCCATGGCCATATTCCTGGACGAGCCTACCTCCGGTCTCGATGCCACTTCAGCGAGTTCGATCATGAGCACACTCAAAGCCCTTGGAAGACTAGGTATTACCGTTATCGTCATCATTCATCAGCCGCGAGTGGAAATCTTCGAGATGTTAGATGACATGATCCTCCTTGGAAACGGACAACTGATCTACGAAGGGCCTCAGAGTCAAGCCAAGACCTTCTTCGAGCAGATGGGTTTTGTGTTCCCTCCTGGTGCCAACTGCAGCGACGTTATTACCGATATCATCACAGGAAACGGTCGACCGTATAAGAAGGATGGCGATATATCCAAGGAAGCCCTCATTGCCCACTGGGCTAAGGGACCCAGTGTCAGCGTCCTCGCTGACGAAGATGAGGACAGGACCTGGCAACCTGCCCACTCCCGAAACCCCTCAGACACCACCCTTACCGCTAGCGAAAGCAGCGAAAGCGACACACCCCGCCACAATCGATCGTCCGTAATGTCTTTGAGCAAGCTCAAAGCAAGCGCACGCATCTCAATCCTGTCCATCTCGAACCCCCAGCTATCCGGTATCCTGAAGCATCGCGGTGCTCCTCGTTGGCGACAAACTCTGCTGTGTCTATCCCGCTCTATTCTCCAGCAATACCGTGCTAGCTCCAACTTTTGGTTCGAAATGGGTCTCTCCGCTCTCGCTGGCTTCTTGCTCGGACTCGCTCAACAACCGAAGAATGGCGCCTTCTTCCGAGGTCAGTACAACAAGCCCTACGACATCCTGTCTCTCTCAGCAGACTATGCCGCGGCTCCGCAAATGGCAATGCTTATTACCTTGGCCATTGGCCTCTCAAGTGCCGCGCCTGGTGTCAAGGTCTTCTCCGAGGAGATGCTTGTATATCGTCGTGAGGCGGAGGCCGGGCATTCTAGAGTGTCATACTTCTTTGCAAAGACGATCAGTGTTCTTCCAAGGATGACGCTAGCTTGCTTGCACTTCTCCGCTCCGCTCTTCCTCGTGAGCGTGCCCGTCATTCCGTTCTGGACGGCATTCTTGGCCAACCTTTTGTATGTGTATTGCATCTACGGGCTGGCGAGTTGCATGAGCATGGTGGTGAGACGGGAGGATGCACCACTCTTTGCGACGATGATCAGCTTGATTGTCGGCATCTTGAGCGGAGCGGCGCCGAGCTTGAGTAAGGCCAAAGAGTGGCATGTTGAGTGGTTGTGGAGAGCTGGGCCGGGCGTGTGGCTGGGCGAGCTGTACTTTGGACAGTTGGTGAAGCCGTTCGGGTATCTGTATGATGTACAGATTGCTTCTAAAGTGACGGGATATGACTTGGATCGGTTGTGGGTAAATATGCTGGTCTTGCTGGGCATTGGGACGGCGTATAGGTTGTTGGCTTTTGTAGGGTTGATTGGGGGTGGAAAGATGAGGGTATGAAGGGTGGCCATGGCATGGAGGCAAGAGTCAATTTCTGTTTTGAGCATCTGAATGGAATGCTGTCTCGACGTTCTATATCCAATTCTCTCAAAGATCCACTTCCGACTTGTGCAACGTCTTCTCGCCCTGTCAAAAAAGCCAACCAGGCGCGATCTGAAGCCAAACAACAGCCAACTTCACGGTGAATTTTGTAAAGATCGGCATTAGTATGGCGTCTTGCCGGCGTTCACTTTAAAGAGAGTTCTTCCTCGAGAAGCATTGGAAACTTGGGTGGGACTTGTCAAGCTGGGGTTCCATACTGAAGCCCAGCGGCAATCGCGACACAGTGTCAGTAATGAAGTCAGAAGTTCGCGTCTTATTCTGCCCGAAAGAACAACCAATGCGAAAGGAACATCGGCAACTGCCGCGTACTCGTTACATCCCGTGCGGGAAAAGCGGCTGATGAGGCTCACAGGCGGCCTATTTACTATACGTACTATCATGTTACCCCGCCGTTAACGACAAGGAACATTCTCTGGATTCATTACGCGGCTATGCCTCTCTTCTCTCTCTGACAGATGGTCTGCTCTCGGAGTCGGTGATGAAGATGTAGGAAGAGGGCAGACAAGGGAGGATTGACCGTCAGCCTGAGGCCAAGGCATGGTAGACTGAGAGTGTGACGTTTTGGGGAGATCTCACATCTCTTCCTTTGGCAAGAACCTTTTCATGATCTTCAACCTTGCGCTGTATCTGGGTGTCATGAATCGCTGCCGTGACTCGGGAAGGCAACCGCAGTCGACAACCGCCTGTCACTTGATCGTGACCTTTCCGAGACGTGTGCATGGTGGCGAGAAGAAACCGGCGGCCTCGTCTGCGTGTTAGCTGCATATAAACTGCAAACGGCCTTGTTGGTGACCAATGAACTTGAATCGCGCTGGAAAGGGTTGCATTGGTGTCACACGGACATTGCCCAC